TTTACTGAGAATTTCTACACACCATTTGTGTGCGGTTGTCCTATGAATAAGCCCCTAAAACTAATTCAACTACAGCCAAAAAATAAATTGCAAACTAAGTTTTCCAATTGAAATCTGCCATCTGAAGCACAGTAATGGAAAACATTTATTATAAAGCTAACATATATATGTGGCTAGAAATGTGTACAGTACAAAACAATTTTCTGAAAGGAATTTATTCAGSATTTTCTCAAAGAGCATCTTAACTTGGCTAACAGAAAATTACATGTTCAAAAATAATTGTAGGTTCCATGATTTTCCTCCTGAAGCACAGGCTTCCCATTACCGTCTTTTTGCTTCTGGAATAATTATAAATTTTAGGTTAACTTTATCCTGCACAGCTGCACACTGCCATTTCTGGAGCCTGGATTTGCACAAATTCTCATCCTTGGAGCTGCTGGGACTGCAAAACTGGGGTAAGGCCACACTGAAGGGTGCAATCTACTCAAAAGCTGAGTTTCCTCCTCAAAAGTGAGGTTGTTTTGCCAGTTCAGACAGTTCTCAAGGGAGCTCTTTGCAACAAATGTGCATGTCTGAATAAATAGTAAATGAATATTTACACTCAAATCCACACGAGCGTGTCCGACATCAGTCGATAATAGCCAGGTCCTAGTCAGATAGACAAGAACTTCCATATGGTTCAATAGAAGAGGGATGTGGGGATGGAGATTCAGGGCAAATATTATTTAAAATGTGACACAGCTCTGGGAGAGGAAGGAAATGTCCCTGTCCGGGTTTCTCAGGTAGTGGAAAAGTATTAGTGACAAAGACAAAATAAACAGTTTCTAACTAATCAGCATATTTGACGATTCTGGTGGATGGTTTTAGGACAGATTTGAGAAGAAACTGTTCAACAGAATCAAGTYTTCCCCCCTTTTACTAGGTCCTTCTACAGCCTCGTTATTAATAATAATAAAAATAGTAATGGCAACTCAATGGTCTAAACATTTTGGATTAAGAGCTCATGTACTGGCAGCACAGAGTGCAGCCCATTACTTTCACGGTTTCTATCTTCCGGGTAATGATGCTCTAAAAAAGCCATATGACAAGCAAATTGGACACCATTCCAAATTGGTTTCAGCCACCTTAARCTTAACCAAATGCACTCTTCATTTGTGCAAGAAAAATTAATAACATCTATTTATCCATAAAAGAARTTATAACTGCTATTGAGGGGTGGCTCACAGCGGAACGTACCAGGAACTCAACTTTATTTTCTTATTTAACAGCTTTCACTCATAATAATACATAAAGTCTTAATAGGTTAATTTTCCGGCAAGTCTGAACAGGTGAAGAATATTAGACATTTAATGACTGTATCAAAATCTCTGACTTGAGAACATTATGCTACTTTTTTTCCCCCGATTCCCGCTTTYGCCAACGGAGACAGGGAAGCTAGGAAGCATGTCAAGTCAGCTGCCAAGCTGCTTAAAAACTCTCAAACGACCTTGTCAGAAAAAAAAAAAAGACAAAAAACACACGCGCGCACACAAACCCCTTTGATTTATATTTTAAAAATCCTGACTAACCCGCCCCTTTCACTCACTCTTCTGCCTCTCTGGGTTCGATATTAATGACCAGCAGCCACTGTCAGGCTCTCCGCACGGCTCCGTAGCTTGGCTCCGGCGCTGGGACGCTCACCTTTGCTTTGCCTTCTCCTCCATGCAAGGCAAACAGAAAGCCAGGCTAGGAGCAAGGCTAAAAATAAACCCTGATGATTCGAGGACCCTCCTGGATGCAGCTAAGCCCTTCAGGTTGACTCTCCTTGAAAAGGCTGCTCTGCAAAGATGCCTCCTGTCACACTCTAGGGGCTATTCCAGGCAAAGTCAAACACGCAGGGGCACTTTCCTACAAAACCAGGCATGTTTTGTCTGGGGAAACACCTGCATTATTTTGCTCTGCATTACAGGYAGAAAGCAGACAGCTAGGTGATGCTGCTATGTATTTCTGAATGCTTAATTAAATGATTCAGTCTGCAATAAAGCTACTGCAGGCCATCATTCCAAGATGGACTATCTGTGTGCTAGGAGAGATTTTATGCTGAAAGAGAAACGATCCCTTTATTTCTAAAGAGGCAGGAACTGGTAACAGATGTAAGATTGTCTGTATCGCTTCAGGGTATCCATGTGTAATTTCAGATTTTCTAAAATGATTTGTGCTTTTGCCCACAGTCAGAGATCTCAGTAACACAATGAACCAGACAGGTTTTGAGCCTGGCAGTTCAAAATCTTTTTGCAATATTTTGCCAGGATTTATCCCACCCTCTTTTGGAAAGACAGAGGGTTGCAAGGTGGCAAAAAGAGTGGAGAGCACAAGTTCCATTCAAAATCAATGAGATTTGTAATCCTAAATCCCTCAAATGCTTTTGAAAATCTCTCCCAGAGACTCTAAAAGGCTTTTGCTGCAGATGCGCTGCTCGACAAAAGTGTCCTCTTCCTCCTTCCTTTGACACTGAAGTTTCATCTCCATAAAGACAGCAAATCTCCTCTCTTCTCCTCTCATATGCATAAGCTGCCAAAAATATTTCTGGGAGCTAGACACACATAATTCAAGGGCAATGAAATATAGAAATAGATGTAAAGTGAAATTTTAAAAGCCCGTATGTGTCCTCAGAGATTTCTAATGGGTCCTTCCTTCTTATATCTCTTCAGCAATGCTAAGATTCAAACCAGAGACAGGCAAAGCTGCTCCCTTTAAAATCTGTCCTTTGCAAAGCAAATGGCCAAGGTTTAAAGCCAAAGCCAACAAACCAATCTCCTGTTCTGGTCCTGGCCTCACTTCTTCCTTCACTTCCCCATGTCTTTCCTTCTCTTTCTCTGCTGATTCACTCCTCATTTGTGCTGTGACTCACTTCAATAATCCCATACTTTTTAATTTCCAGAGGTGCCAAAGTGTTCTGTAACGTGACTTGTTGGCTCTCTCTTGCCATTTTATTTGCAACTTCTCTCCTTTCCAGGTGTGACTCAAGGTGCTGGTTTTAGCAGTTATTGCAAAAATCTAAAGYGAGCTTGGGCACCTCTTTTAACACAATGTCTGCAATTTAGCTCCTGCAATTAGGCAGCGCTGACACCATCTGCTGTTCCTTAACTGTTATCAAGTGGTTAAATTACAGCAACACCGRAGATAAATCATTATTGGAGAAGGCCGTGTAATTCTCAAGTTCTTGGTTGCTACAATTTATCAGACTCTTAATTGTTTGACTAAAAATTCACTCTTTCCTTTTTCTTTCTTCTTTTTTTTTTTCCCCCCCTTTTTTCCAGCCATGAAGTAGCTGTTGATGGTAAAGGGAGAAGCGTGTGACAGAGACACTGGAGAGGGAGAGGCTTTTATATATTCATTAATAGAAAGGACTGCTTTTGCTGGTTATCTAAGCAGAATTCAGAGCACCAGAAGAAACTTGAACCGTGGGAAACCTGAAGGAGCTGCAGTGCTTTGCCTGGCTCTGCCTGCAGGAAGATAAATGTGAAAACACCCAAAATACGGAGCTGCCACCCAGATCAGGGCTGGTCTTGGCCAGGCTTCTTCTCAGGGTAACAACTTACACCCACCCTGCCAAACGTGCTCATGTTAATAAGTCTCCTCCTCACTCCGACCACAGAAAAAGAGGTTATTTCTCCTAGCTGTCGGGCAGCTCAGTCCTTTCCTCTAACTGTCTATTTATGAGGTGCTCTCACTTGAAGTGCTCCATCAATAATTTGAAACATGGATATTTAAGACACTCCCCATTTCGCTTTGGAAAAGTGAAAGAGAAAAGAAGAGAAACTTGAGAAACGCTGCAGATGGAACACGGCCATCAAGGCAGCAGGGAGATGRGCAGGTTTAAAGTGAAGAGATTACAAGCATGATGGATAAAATGGAGATAATTCTAAAAGCACAAAGGCACCCATCCCTCAGGAAGTATAAGAAAAGGCACATGCAAAAGCCTCCTGCTGAACAGGAAAGGAAGGATATACAATATTTATACAAAATCAAGTTAGATGAAAGTTCAGGCTAGTTCAGCTGCTCAATAATGTGCCTGAGTAACTTGCTTCCACAAACACCTTTTCTGAATATAAAATCACAATTACATATCCAAACGGCCACTTCCCCACACCTAGTTTGTTATCTACCCTCACTGAGGATGAAATTCATCCCTGTTCTGAAGGGCAGCGCACGCCTTGCACTGCACTCGATGCCAACTGGAGCACAAGATTTAAGAGASGCAAGTAATTGTGCGGTGAATTCATGAGACTGGACTTTCTCTGCCTTGCATTTACTGTGCATAGAATCATTCTTCTCAAAGGGACTCCTCTTATAGGATAACTCCTGTTTAGAAATAAAACATACACACAAGTAGATAGAAACTAAAATACAGCAGCCAGGGAAGCTTCTTTTTTTTCTCCAAAAATATCGTGCCCAGAGCAGCCCTGGAAATGACTACTGGAATAGTCTTTGCTTCCTTTCTCCTCTCCTATGCTGGCCAAAGTATTGCCATCACTTAACAACTCATTAAGTCCAAAAGAACACTGACAAAAGCAGCACATGAATCAGCTGCAGAAGCATTTTGATTTGAAAAACAGCGCCAGAATTCATACATTACAACCAAAGAACTTCCCTCTCGACTGGTGGTTAATAAAACTAGTCACATTTACCTTGTTCATTTAATAAAGTTCAGAAGACAGTAAATACATGGAAGCGACCCACTTTAAATGACATGTTAAACTGGAATTGAGTGGATACAGAGAACCCTTGCTAAGCACATATATCATCATGGAATATAAATGGGAATGGATGAGCATGGAAAAACAGCTGAAAAATACAAAGATGAGTCAAACCTTTAGCTATGACCCACCTCAAGCTGTGACTAAATTGGGAATGAGACCTGAATAAGAGTATGGGCCTTCCCTAATGCATGGGAAAATGGGATAATGCATGTATCACAAAATAAGACAAGACAACCACAAAATATGCACTGTATTTACCTTGATCAAAAGGCTTGTTTGGATTCCAGTTTCTGAAATAATCATCCTAAATAGAAAAAAAAATAAAGGAAATTCAGGCAAAATCTTTTCAGTACAGTTTCATGTAAATAAACCGCAAATGAATCAATTCCTCTTTTGTTGCTAGCATGTTCTATCCAAAGTAGATAAAGCCATTAATAGGTTATTTCCTAAAGAACAGGAAGCACTGATTAGAAAGCAAAGATTAAAAACTTGCCCAAATTCTTCTCTTCCCATTTTCATTCCAAATCACTTTCCCAAACATGCCCCTTATTAAATATAACACTGTAACAACACTGTATTATTACAGATCAGTTTATAAAATGTGATAATAAAGATAGGATTCTATTGCTTAGATAATGTGACATGATCCACACCAAGATCTTGTCATAAAAGATCAGCAGTATAAATCTAAAATTATACATATATACATACATATATGGACACRTACAAATCACACGATTACAAATGTACAGAAACCCAGCAATAACATCTTAAGGACTACATTTTAATCACAGCAATATCCAGGAGCACTTGCAAGAAACAGTCAAGGAAGGAAGTGCTACCGACAGACCAACTGTATTTGAAGTGAGGAAGCATGGAGGATTTCTGTAACACCGCAACAATTTTCTGCATATTAAYCTTTAATTCTGCCTTGATACATCCAGTTTGCCCCATTTGCTTCTTGACAAGGGCTGCCATTGCAAAGATGTCCTTAGCAAGCTGACCAACGTCCTGCCTGGATTTCTTCTCCCCACTAGAAGGGCAGCTGAAAGCCCATCAGTGGGAGCAGGAGAAGGCAACGCTGCTCTTGGCTGCCCACCGGGGATGGGTGAGCTGCCCCCRGGCATGCCCAGGGCCGGGGGCCACATCTGCACTGCCAGGAGGACCGGTTTTCTCCTTCCGTGTTCTCCTCTCCACACCGGCATTGGCGCCTGCCCCAACTTCATGGCCCATGACAATGTTCCTCACTACCAAAGATGATTATTCATCATTTATCTCAGGTAGGGGAGAAGTATCCTGTGCTTTCTCTCGAGGAGGACAGGATTCAGCCCTGGGAATAGAGTATTAGACTTGCCTTTGAATTCTCCAGCTTTGTTAGTACAAAAAGAATCATCGGGATGCGACGCTTTATCAGTGAAGATGATGTGCTGCTTTTCCCACCAAGTGTTCATCACTTTTCAGAAACACGGGTTTGTTTTTTAGGCTTTTTGAGCAGTTTCCTTTTTTTTTTTTTTTTTTTTTCCTTCCCCCCTCTGATAAGAGAATATTCTTTTTCCCCCTACTTACCATATTTTTTAGGTGATGCTTTGCTGCTGTTTTTTCAGCATCAGAAACTGCTAAATAATTCAAATCCCAAGAAAGGTTTCTTACGCTGTTGGCATATGGAACTGGTTTTGAAATACAGATCGGAAAGGGGGTTCATCTCCATTTCAGTGTCAAAGGAATATGTTAGAGCAACTGCACCTTGCTCATAAAAAAAGTACAAAACACCCATCTGCTCTGTAGCCCTATTCCTTAGCCTTTACRCAGGCCTGGTTAGACCTTTTTAAAAACTGAAATTATTTTGGCATGTGCCTGAAAAGCCAGTATRAAACAGAAAAATACACAAAGGAAAACACTTTAAAAACTTTTGAAGGAGAGCAGGAAAATAATCTTTGAGGTATCCACATACCAAACTCATTCTTATTTATAAATGCAAATACTCACAATATAACCGTTCTAGAAATCAGGTCAACGGCACTCGAAATAACTCTGGACAAAAGTTGGACAAAGGAGAAGCTGGACAAAAGAAAATAGAGCACTGTGGTTTTGCTGCAGGATTTATAGGGGCAAGTGCTGCAGGCGAATGGTTGCAGGACTATGRGGGTAAAATCCAGCCCTGGAGCCAGGGCTGAGCAGAAACCCCTTGCCTTGTGGAGAGGCACCGAAAGCCTGGATTTGAAAAATGAACTGTGCTCTGTGTTAGCACTCTGCTGTGTGCGGAATTTTAGGTATTAACCCAAAAAGCCTGGAGTTTGAGGTGGCTGCTCTTCGTACCTCCCAACGTAACGGGGTGCTGGTACATCCCTGCAGCCCCCCAGAGCAGCACGGGATGCTGGCGCAGCAATACAGAGCACCCCAACATGACAGCGACCTGCACATGTTTTCTAGCACTCAATGTGAGGAGAAAAAAAAAAAAAAGCACCAAGATAATCAGTTCGATCTGAAAGTTTCTTGATTGATTTGAAAGATTTAAAAATTGCATTCAGTAAAATACAGTAATGACAAAAACGACTGCTCAGAAATCTGAGACTTCCTATCAAGACAGGTACTAATGGATGCAAAATACCTCCTCCCTGCCATAACATAAGAACATGGCATTTTAACACATCAACAGATCAATATTATCATATTAATAACAAACACATATTAATGTTCCATCCATAACAATATTATTAGCTGATAATAAGAGTTTAAAGTATAACCAGCATCATGGATATTTCATACTTTTATTCACTCTATGTTACAATTTAAAAGTAAAGAAAACCTACCTCAACTTCCTGAATACGTAAGCATTACAAATGAGAAAAGAAAAAAAGAATGAAATCAAACCATACAAAGATACATTAACATTCATCAATTTTTTTTTTCTTTGGCGGCTTTTGAAAAGTGTAATTGCTTATTTCCTAAGATTTTAACCTTGGAGTCATATCATTTTCTCTCCTCCTTTTCTGGCCAGACCCTCTCCACCTTGGCTGGGTTCTCGGATGCTGCTCAGGCTGCTCACGAGCCAAGTGCCGCGGCGCTAGCACGGCGCCTTCTCCTGGAGCGCCACAAAAGAGGCTTTTTCATCTCCTTTTGGCTGACAGAAGCACCAGAAAGCATTTTTTTTTTTGCTACACATCTCAGCTGTAACACACCTGACATATAACACAGATTTAAAAATAGTTTTTCCATAACTGGCTTGACAGCCTGTTTATTTGCTAGGCTTGGAAGAGAAGGCAAAACTGGGCACATTTCAGTACAACTGGTGATGGCGAGAGAGGAATATTTTTGACAAGCAAACACTTAATTCAGGTTCCTGCTTCGACCCTCAGAAAGTGCAACTGAGAACAGGTTATAATCATAAAAAGTGAAGACTATATAGAAAAACAACTACACACTGCTACACTTGGGCCTCACATCCCCATCATAATTTCACTATTTTGATCTGAGTAATTAAGAGATGAAACACATTTGAAGGGATTTAAATCCCTTTCATTGTAGCTTGCAAAAATAAACTAAGTTTCTTCTAAGAAAAGCAAAATATTCTTTTATCATTCACCACACAGGTGCTATATCCAGCCAGCTTAGGTAGATAGGCCATCAAAATCAATCTAAAGAACATTTATATGATAAGCTAAGCACTCAAAGGATATATTAAAAATGGTAACCTCACAAAAGCTTTCTTATTCACACGGCCCATTCTTTCATGCAACAGATGCCTCAGAGGTTTCTACCCACTTTCAGTAGGATTTAACCCAAGGATACAGAATACAAGGACAAATTCAGTTATGTTTGTAGCACCACTAGCGATATTTAAGATACTTCCTTACATCTTTCTTGATTGAATGCAGCGATTTATTTTCAGTCAGACAACACAAAACGAAGTCACATGAAGAAAATCAAATATATGCATCAGAATTATTTTTTTTTTCTGCCCAAAAGGATGATATGGAAATCATCTGCTATTGAGCCCATCATCTATCTAGATGAAATACTAAATAACCAAGAAAAATAACCATGACACAGGGAGAACTATTTACAAAAAATATCTCATATTTGACTTGCAATACCAAACCTTGAGCTAGATCTGGGTCTGCTGCAATTTCCTATTAATGGTATCAGAAAAGTCTGCGAGTAGAAATCAGCTGCAAGAGCAACACAACTGCCCTCCATTTCACAAGAGCCACTTAGCCTTCCCTCCCTCCAAAGCCAGCATTAAAATATATATAAAACAGGCATTTTTTTTTTTCTCCTCATGACTAACACGGTAAACAAACAGCTTTTGGGTCTCCTGAAATTTATGTGTTTTTGCATAAAAACTGTGGTGTTATTTCCACCACACTTCCCTCCATTGCTGCTCCTCGGTTTAGCTATTACCTAATTCTTGCTATTTCAGAAGAGCGAGCGAAACACGGCTGATTTAGCCCTCGTCGTGCACGCTTTGCTCATCAAAAAGCAACGCTTGCAAGATGCTCTTGTTTATAAATAGAGGCAAACATTAGCTAAACGGGTGCATAAATATTTATGTTTTGTCAYATTAATTGAGCTTATACATTATTTGTATGAATCAAGCAGAAATGAGATGCTGCCCAAAATAAATCTATGGAAAACCCTCCTTTTTCTACATTTTTCCACAGGAGCTCAGTTGAGTTGCCTGGGTAGATCATCCCGTGCTGACCAGGCCAGTGGAATACATGGCCATCCCAAAACCACGAGCACAAATCTCTTCTCCAAAGCCTAACATCCAACAGGATCTACCCTCCATCTCCTCCCCACTGACGAGAGCTGAGGTTTCCAAGTCTCTCCAGGAGAGACATTCATTATTTTCCTCTTCCATGTGCGATGTATGATTAAACCTTTTAGCCTCATAAAGACCAGCTGGGAAAAGGGGTAATTACCAGCTCATTTGCTCTGGCAAAACGAGCTCCAGAAAGAGGCAGCTGCAGTTTGGGCCTCTCTCCACCTTGCAGGAGGAGGATCAATCCCAACGCGAGCAGTGTGGAAGCACCAGCTGCTGCTTGCTGAAGCCAACCGAGCCCGAACCACAAACATCTCCCCCAGGCCCATTGCCCRTGTTAAGCAAATAGCTTGTGTCAGCAAATTGCACCTTATTTATTTCTTTATTTGAGGAGAAGCAAAAATATTTTCCCCACYGACTCCTTCTGGGAATAGGGATTCCCAGTGATTGCCAGTGCCTGCAGCAGTATCCAGAGCTGCTTCCAAACTCCAAGCACATGGAGCCATCTTGAACCATGCTGAACTCTTCAGCCTCTCCTGGGAAACAGTGAATTTGCATCCTGGATGCTTTGGCTTAGTGAGCTCGTTGTGGCCCGTGTGCTGGCTATTTCCTTTCAACTTTGGCAAGAGAAACCTTTGAAAAATTTAGTGTTCAATTTTCTGGAAAGGTCGGGACTGCAGGAGTTTGCTTATAAAGTTGGCAACGTTAAGTGRTGGAATTGAGAGAAAATGTTTCAGACTGAATTAGTACCTACAGGGAATGAAGGCTCTGGGGCTGTCAGGAGCTGTCTAGAACATTGGAGCTAAGTCATTAATAAAAATGTAGAGAAACGGCTTAGCCTAGAACGAAGACATGGTTCATCTAAAGGCATCCTATGAGACCTATATACAGTGTTAAACATATTAATACTGACTTATTATAAGGGTATAAAACACTTATCCAAATTAAAACACAGATCCATATGGAATAAAAAGAGGACCCTCAGTATATATTTACAATCTCATACACTATAAAAGACTCAAATTCTCAAAGCTCTGAAACTTTGGTGACTGTGTATTTTTTGTTCAGCTTTGTCTATGCCCAGAATATTGCTTTCTAAATGATTTTCACAATGAAAAGTTTTGAGTGTTTTTTCCAGGTAAACAGGAGACTTGTCGTTCCTGTTTTACTAAAGGACTTTTCCAGAAGTTCCTGTAGGCAATGCTAAGGAAGTGGTATGCAGAACTTCCAGCAGTCCTTCTTTATGAAGGGTCACAATGATTCATTAGGACGGCAAAAATTTCAGAAATGAAATTAAAAAAATGAAAATAATAGAAAAATAAGTTACCACTGAGCCCATGTCAGCCTGAGTAARAATCCTCATCCTCAACCATGTGGCCTTCTATGCAGAAACCTTCCACTTGCCCTATCAGAAGTATTTTTGAAAATGCACAAGTTCAGAAGGAATTAAAAATAGCTTTTTTAAAGAAAATCACTCTTTATATATCCATCAGAATGAAGCCAAAGGGTCCATCTATACTGATGAGGGCAAACAGATGCTCATTCACCCTACTTGAGCTTCAAGCAGGGTGAASGAAGGCCAGCTGGGAGCCAGGAGCTACATAGCTGCTTACGCGCAGCGCTGTGCCAACAAACACAGCTGATATATTTGGGTGGGTGAAATGATCACACAGCTCTGCACCAGCTTGTTTTGCAATACTGAAGACTGAAAAAAGCCTTGATTTGATTTTTTCTTTGCTGGCCCTTTTTACCAGAATAACTTCAGAGTGCATTATCGCTTCTGCCTGAACTTTTCATTAGCATGGGGTAATGGCCTCTTTCCCCTGTCACGACTTAAAGAATTCCTATTAGCATCACTTAAATCAAGCTTTTCACACCTCTAGTTTGCCCTACGGACACACCAGCTTTGGCTGGAGACTGTAGAGCTTTCATGTGCCTAGAGAGGTAGAACTAGGGAGCCTGCCAAGCCAGGGGCTCAGCAGCCCTCGTGTGGGATGTGCTGCCATAGACACTACGTTACCTTCAAGACCACATCCAAAAACAGAACAGTACTTTGGTCCTTATGCTGAAAAATGAAAATATTTACCCTGATYCATCCAAACAAATTCTCCTAGGGAAATGGGAAAAATGTGTTCAATACATTTTCTCCCCGACCTTCACTGGGGTCCTCCCACAGGCTTATTTGGAGAAAGAGCAAAAGGGAGTGAGGAATCGGGGCTGGAGGGACAGCAGGCAGTGGGTACTTTTAACAAGGCTTGAGGATAAGGAGTAGTGCAACGATGATTTACCCTCTCAACTGGAACAGAATTTCCTCCGGCAATCAGATCCTGGGGGAACCTGCAGGGAAGCTTGATAGTTACYGACCCTGAAACACATTTGTAAATCCCTACTCTCTCCAGAATTTGGTCCGAGGCATTAAAAGAGTTTCTGATTTCTTTAGTCACTCTCTGATTATACCACGATGCCTAGAGCGCGCTTATGCAAATCTCTGCTTAACCAGACCTCCCCATCCATCTCCTACAACAAACACGGTTGAATCCGCTTCTGAACTTCACTCAAGGCTCCCAGTGCTAGTCAGAAAATTACGTTTGAAATGACCTGTTTGGAAACAGGAGCGTGTGGGAGGGAAAGAGTAGGTGATAAACAGGAGAGGGTAGGAGGAAGAGGATGGCCCCCATGTGATGGAGGAGAGTGAGAATGCAGGCGAGACCAACGGGGTTCTTCTTTCTCAGCTAGGAAATTCTCATGTTCGCTACCCCATGAGCTTTGCCCAGGTCCTCAGATAGACCTGCAGAGAACTGCTTGTCACGCAGCGGCTTCGGCAGGACAGACAGACGCCCCTGGGAAGCGCTGAGCTCAGTATCACAGACCAAGTAGCTCCTGCTTGGGTGGGAAATGAGATGAAGTCAGAGATGCAGAAACATCCTCCCTTCTCCTTCCCCCGTGAACTTCCCAAAGGCAGCCTTGCTTCTCATCTCTAAAAGAACATTTTGCATGAATGAGCAACTGGGTAGAAAAATCTAAGCCCCAGACTGCAGTTGTCCTAATAACCTTCCA